CGGATTTTACACTTCTAAACACTCCATCATTAATGCTCTACAATAATTCATATTTATTACAGTTAAAACCCATAATGCAATCGTCCGACAAAATAAAAAGCATGCAAAATACACTAGAGCAAATAATTAAGGGATCAAAAAAAAACGCCAATTTTATGTATTTCCTTTAAAAATGGTCGTATTGGAATTTTAAAAAAAGTATTTTAAAGCTCAAAGTTTTTAGTTTTGAGATCTTATAATAAAAAAATAAAAAAATTAAGCACCGTGTTCCGCTCAATCCTAATGAATACTGAAACAATTTTTTTTTTTGGAACTTGGAAAAAATTTTTCTAACTTAACCACTATATGTATCGGATAGCATGTTCATTTAGCTTTAATTTGCTTTTTTGCAAAGTTCGAGATGACTACTTCTCGCTGAGATAAGGTAGTAATAGTTCTATTAATCATAGGTTTGATTGTGATATTGGAAATTAGCGTCGTAGTTTTTTTTTATGGGATGAAAGTGAAAGGAAGGGGTTGCATTTCTATGCTGGGACCACACGACGAGGTACATAAAGACACAAGTCTGCGCGTTTACCGCAAAAAAGACGCCGTTTGTCGTATCTCCTCACTTTCAGGGCACTTCCCTTGATAAAAAGTCAAGTCTAGGAATTCTGGGCGTTGATATATCTTGCGACGTCCAGTTTTGCGGTCATCTGGAGGAGAAGGCTAAGATAGCTTCCAAAAAGTTAGGAGTGCTCAATAGGGTGAGACGATATTTCATGCCAGAACACCGCCTGAAATTATATAAAGCCCAAGTCAGGCCGCATATGGAATACTGTTCTCACCTGTGGGCAGGAGCGCCACAGTACCAACTCCTTTCGTTAGACCGCATTCAAAGTCGGGCGGCTCGAATTATCGATAGTCAACGCCTTACTGTCCGACTTGACCCATTGAAACTGCGCAGAGATGTTGCGTCTCTGTGCATCTTCTACCGAATTTATCATGGGGAGTGTTCTGAGGAATTGTTCGGATTGATACCTGCTGCTGATTTTCACCACCGTACAACCCGCCACAAACTAAAGTTTCATCCCAATCATCTGGACGAGTGGCGGTCTTCCACCGTGCGTTTTTCAAGGCACTTTCTTCCACGCACAACCATTCTTTGGAATCAACTTTCAGCAGCAGTATTTCCGAACCGATACGACAACATAACCTTCAAGAAAAGAGTATATTCCTTTTTAAAAGGCCGGCAGCACACCTGCAATGCCGCTGGTGTTGTGGGTGATCATGGGCGGCGGTAGTCACTTACCATCAGGTGAGCCGCATGCTCGTTTGCCCCCTGTGTTGTAAAAAAAAAAAAAAAAAAACATGTACATAATTACTTAATTTAATTGTGCAAAGGATTTGCATTAAAATATTAATAATTTTTAAATGAAAATAGAATGGTTTTAGGTATATCATATGATGCTGTGATATCACATATGATGATACGGTCAGTCGCGAGAAATTAACTGCGATGGACTTTAGGGTACATATTAAGGGTCGAAAACTGTTTTTGTTCTTGTTTTTCGAAAACTTTTTTTTTTGTTTTTCTTTGTTTACTGATATTTTTGTTTTTTACCTTTTGTTATGCGCATGTTTGTTTATTTGTGTTACTTATTCATGATCTTGATGGACCGGGCTAGGTGATGAGGTGCTAATTGAAAATCAGCGTTTCTGCTTTTGCAGGAACCTTTAGCTGAATTAGCATCCTTTTTCTTTACCATAACACTGACTGATTTCTACTACATATAAAGAATATATAAATGTGAACTTTTTTTCTATATTTTTTTTTTTATTTGTTATTACTTATAATCTAAGTATATGTAAGTGTTATGGTTTTATTGAAATAAATTTTTATTCATTCATTCATTTAGAACAATGGGTCCGATAATCATCTCCGATCTTTTTGTTTATAATACTTATTATATAGTAGATGCAGAAATACAAGTTTTTTTTTAATATAATATTGGTCTAGACACGCGGTAGCGTATCAAGCCAAGTCAAGCTGGCGAGCAGCACCGTACGAATTATATTATAGCCTTCGTTTCTAAACCTGTTACTTGTCCCTACTTATTTTATTATTCCGAAAAATTGGCTTGCTGGTAGAAACAAGCCATCGAACATAATAATTCGTATATGAGAACTAGCCAAGTCAGACCTTAGGCTACATTATATTATCCTAAGTTATAAGAAGAAATTATATTTTACATTGTTCTAAATAAATTTCAGGACTGATCATAGAACTCGACACTCATTTAGATCTCATTTCTTTTGTCGTTGAAATCAACAACCAAGGCATGTACTATAATATTGGACTTGGCTCTCATTTCACATTTATGTTTTTGATGGAATTATATAGAAGACATAAAGTATTTCCTATATTACCTGTTATTCAACTTTACCGTTCAGTTCAGTCTGTGAGCACGTTGCATCATCAAATAGGTTTTACACTTAGGTTTCTTGCGTTACCTATTTTATTATTAATCTTGTGAAGGTCAAGGTTACATTAGTTTGGGTTTTTAAAATACTTATTTGTTCAACTATATTTATGATTTCATATTGTAAGTACGAATAGGTTATTATAGAATTCTCGAATATTACAAACACTTGTCTTCGATTGCTTTGAATAACGATATATTGTTTACTTTGTTCTATTTTCGAAAACGTTCTCAAGTCATCATCGGCAGAAAACTTCTGCCACGAAGCAGCTGTCCTTGCATGGTAATGTTTTGTTTTGAAGGACGTGAATTTGTAGTTATTGCAGTACCAATACAAGGTACAGTTTATATTAGTCCTTAGGAACTGGTAATAAAACAGCACCGTGAAGAAATGTGTATAACAATGATTATTTCTATCAGATGCATGATCGGTCAACTTTTTTGGCATTCCAAGTTTCTCTGAGAAAGTCAGAAAACGACCAGGAAATTCTTATCACCTGATGTAAATATTTCTAAGCCGTCTTCGTCGTAGTCTTACGATTAATAGTAGTAGTATTCAAGAAGTAATTATCAGAATCTAGTAATTGTTATAAACACACACTCATACACACACACACATACATACACTCACTCACACACACACATGCACGCACATGCACACACATTATAAATACCTCGTGAATATAATTGCTTGGGTACCGGTTTGGAACATCTTGTGTTTACTTGTATGAAGGTTTAAGAAAAAACTTTAACCATAATTGGATATAAATATAAAGCGCAAGTCATTTACAATTCTTAAACTAGAATACTTTACGCTATGAGGTACATTGGATGGTTATATTCCTAAACTGACTCAACGGAGAATCAGACTTGGCATTTCATTTACTTAAAGAGATGTGAAAAATTACTAATTTAATTTAAATATTTTTGTTGGAAATTTTAGTTTCAAAACTAAATTATTGAACGGATTTTGATAAAATTTCTATGGAACTAATTTAATAAGAATATTCTTTCAGTTAAAAAAGGATATAAAAACGGTTTAGAACTGACATAACAAAAATATAACCGACTTGAGAAGCTCGTTTTTTTTGAAGTCGATTGAAAAGAAGATTGTTTGCAATTCGTTAATGTTTTATGTTTGTTATCCTAGTCACAGATAATATAATACAGTACTCCGTCAATTAGAAACCGACCTAGAATTTTTTTTTTTATTTGAAAGAATATACTTTCAGATTAGTCCCATAAAAACTATATCAAAATTGATTTTTTTATACAACTTTGCTTTGCAAACAAGCTGACGGCCCACCTGATGGAAAGTGGTAACCGTCGTCTATAGACATGGACAGTACCATGGACATAACAGAGTATACTGTTTCGCCCATGATACCCCCCATGCGTTGCCATTCCTGAGGACTCAGGTGTTATTCCTCTGTACTCTGTAAATTCACCGCCATATCCCAGCCTTCATACCGAAACACAGCCATGCAAACACACGTATTTTGGTTCTTAAATTAAAATAATTGATTTCGCTAAGATTCAAATCAGTTGGTACCTGTTTTTGTTGAACAAATGTACTTGGTTTTAATGGCACGCATTTTGAAAACTTTTTTTTATCAATCATCATTTATTATTAGTTTTTACCTGCAACTTCGTCTGCGTGACTTTGACATTGATTGACAAGGATGTCATGTACCTACGTCCTTCTCTATTCCATATAACAAGTGTATACCAAATATCAGGATTATTGGCTGAGCCATTAATAAGACTCCAAAAGGCAACAAACAAACTCACTTTCACAAAAAATTAAATCGCTTTCATATTAAAAAAAAATACTTATTTTTATATACTACTAAGAACTAGTAATTTATTACCTAAGGACTATTAGAAAGGTTGTCTAATAAGGGTAGATGTCGCATCAGTTGAAGATTAATCCTATAATCAAGATTTCCACTTGCATTTGTATTTATAGTCCAGTTTTAAGCTTTATGTTTTTACTACCTGTCGCATATAATTGCTCCTCTAATCTTTATTGTACATTCTTTACGTCAAAGACGGCACGAAACAATTTTCAATATTTCTAAAAAATTAAAGTCCACGCAAGGGTAGCCGACTTGACTAGATCCAAGATTTACTGTTTACTGACGAAACCCTGCGCGATCTACCATACATACATACTTTTTGAAATCTCAAATGAAATAACATAGTTCAGTATACAATTATGTAGTATTGTAGTATTTGTTATTTTATTAAGAGGGAAAACATAAACCTGAAATTTACTCTTAGTAACTACTTATTTATATTAGTGTGAGCATTGTCTCTGAGCATCTGCCGCTAGATTAATGAAAAATTATTATAGAGAAATTATTTTATTTTTTGCCTCGCCACGATCGACTGGACTAAGAGTCGTGATCGACCGGTTGGACATCACTGCTATATTGGATACTATGCTATGCTGTATATATTTACTTGGAGTATTGGAAACAGGGAGGGATAGTAGTTTACATGGATAAATTTGAGAAACTGTGAAATAAAACTTACTTTGAGATTTAATTTATACTATAATCTACATACAATTAAATAGGATGGCCGAAATTAATAAAATTTTATAACCTACAACAATATTTGGAAATGCTAATCGTTGAAAGAACGAAATACAATGTATATCATAGTCTGTTTTTGTTACCCGTAACTACCAGAACCGGCTGATGCTGAGGCTTTAGCGCTGGCTGCAGCATAGGCTCCAGAAGCACCGTACCCTCCATGACTTCCGTGGCCACCGGATCCTCCACAACCAGAACTACAGCCTCCGTCCGAACCACCATGTCCTCCGGATCCACCTCCAATTCCACCAGATCCACCACCAAGACCACCCCCCGCCCCTCCTCCGTAACCTCCAGAACCACCGTGGCTACCACCGTATCCTCCAGATCCGCTACTGCCTCCAAATCCACCTGATCCTCCACCAAGACCACCCCCAGAGCCACCTCCAAGTCCACCGCCAAGTCCACCTCCGTGACCTCCGGCTCCGCCGTGACTTCCACCAAATCCACTGCTACCTCCGTAACCACCAGCGCCGCCATAACCTCCACCTAGTCCACTACTGCTTCCAAGGCCACCGCTTCCGCCATACCCTCCGCCGAGACCACCGCCACCGCCATGTCCTCCGCCGAGGCCACTGCCTACTCCTAGTCCTCCGCCACTCCCAAAGCCATCAGAACCACCATGGCCACCACCGCTGCTGAGTCCACCACTAGTTGCGCCGCCATAACCGCCACTCGATCCGGCTCCACCAAAGCCAGATCCTCCGTTACCTCCAAATCCTCCGCCTTTGCCACCTCCCGCTTCTCCTCCAAAACCACCGCCCCCTCCATATCCTCCAGCACCGCCTGATCCACCACTTCCCGAATGTCCACCACTGCTACCGTATCCTCCGGTTCCGCCACCCAGTCCATTTCCGGCACCACTTCCAAAACCACTTCCGCCGCCTCCTCCTAATCCACCTCCGCCACCGCTATATCCTCCGCCACCTCCATATCCTCCTTTACCGCCATCAAGTGTGCCGTGGAAAGCGAATCCACCAGATTTTCCATCATCAGATTGAGAGTAAACAACTTTTTCGTTTGCTCCGCCAAGGCCTCCTCCACTGCCTAGGCCTCCTCCGCTAAAGCCGCCCCCTCCTTTTGCCAGACGGCTAAATCCAGATTGTAATTTGCTGAATATTTGGCCGACGCCTGCGCTTATACCTTCCAATCCGCCAACTCCGTCACCATATCCTCCTCCGAATCCGCCTCCGCCGCCGCCGCCTCCGCCTCCTCCAAAACCGAATCCTCCCCCTCCGCCTCCACCTCCGCTTTCATGGGCGCCATAACCACGTCGAACTCTTACTGAAAAAGAAAAAATAATTGTCTATTATTATCTATGTCAATCCTAAGAATAAGGAAAAAAACCTTTGTGTCAATCGATATCAATCGTAAATATAGAAAGAAATCAACTATCAATGACATTTTTGAAATGACAATATTGAAATACATAGGCTTTAGTTAATTTCTCATTCATTCATTAATTGATCTATTTATTAATGACTGTTTGATCTAAGCCTGTATGATTCAATTCAATTCAATTAATTCATAACAATATTACATTTTGTGCAATAAGATAGGAGTTTTACATATAAACAATGTCAGATACGAGTAATGACTTATTAATAATAACAATTTCAGTCAAAAAAAAAAGAAGCACAAGTAACTACATACAACTTACAATTAATATATCTCTAAAATTCATTTATGTTATAAATACATTTTTCCAACAGAAAGGCATGGAGTTTGAATTTTAATATTCTCCAATTTTGGATTATGGAGTACAGACTGTTCTTATGATGAATTATATTTAAGGTATTTTACGGTTACTTCGTCTTCTTGGGAAAAGGTCCAACATACTTTGTACAGGATCTGATAGGTTCTCTTGACAACCATTTTTCTCTATTGTTTTATCTCGATTTCTTCGAGAGCAGTCAGCTCAGCTCATTGCCACTTCAATTCATTATTCTTTCAAATTATGCTTGCTTAGCTCACTTTTTATACAACTTTGGTTAACACTTTAGTTCTTCTGGGAATATGGTCTATAATTTAAGTTTCTACAAACTATAATTACTGGGGGGGAAGGGATTGTTAATAATGGGGACTAATGAACCCATTGCTAGTAATATACCCTATCAGGTCGACCTCCTCGCGGTTCCCCCATCGTGACCAAACCATGGAAACCATCGTGGTTAATTCTAGTGGAATTCGTCACGATGGGCTAACTGACCTGCTTTCATCCTCACCTATCATCACTCACTGGTGCCCCAGCAGCGTATACCGATAGCACAGGTGGGGTTACCATTTCATTCATCACCCATTAAAAAAAAATATAATTACTGATATAAACAATATAGATATATAAGAAACTATAAGTAACGAATAGTTCAACAAGAGGTTTCTTCAGGGTCGGCAACGCGCGCATAATACCTCTGGTATTGCAGGTGTTCATAGGCTACGGTAACCACTTACCATCAGATGGGCCATATACTTGTTTTCCACCTGTGTTATAAAAAAATGTCTTTGTACAGGATCTGATAGGTTCTTTGGACAACCTTTTTTCTCTATTTTTTTATCGCGACTTCTTCGAGAGCAGTTAGCTCAGCTCATTGCCATTTCATTTAATTATTCTTTCAACTGATGCTTGTTTAGCTAACTTTTTTATAAAATAAATTGGTTATCACTTTAGTTCCTCCGCAGATATGGTCCATAACTTAAATACCTACAAACTATAATTACTAACATATAAAAGACTAGATTTATATGTATAAGAACTTATAAGTCTACATACACATTAACTTCTGTTCACAGGAAATAAGATGTGATTACGTCACGATCGGGTACACAGAAACGAAAAGTATAAAAAGTGACATGAATAATTACCTGATGCGTTGCCAAAGCCTATAATGAGGCAAAAGGCCACACCTAAGATCGTCTGCTTCATGACTACTTTGCCAGTTAACTAACAAAGATTTAACAGTTAAGATCCTTTTATATCATTATTGTAATAGGTAAAGCGTGCGTTTCGTGCGAACACAAAACTTATGTATGAGTAGGTATATGTGGGGAAAACAATTAGTTTTTATATGTTTTTATATGTTTCCCACAAGTTATAAATCGGAACTGAGTGTACTCGATATGGGTTTTTGTTGATTACTGATTACTCAGAAGACGTATCGGTACCGGCGATCATTCGCTGCAGGGGGCATTTGGCCTTGACATCTTCGACGGTGTTTTGATATGTGGAGCTTTATAGCACAGTATTATGTAATATATGTTTATATTTTTATATAAAATATATATGTACACACAAATGCTCAATCTAATTGTATAGTTTTTTTTTAATGGGCGAAGATGTAACTCCAGCTGCGCTATCGGTATAGTGATAGCGATATCTGTACCAGTGAAGCGTGACAGGTGAGGATGAAGACAAGGCAGTTGGCCAATAGTGACCATTTAAGCACTATGGTTTCCAGGAGCAATCGCGTGGAGGTCGACCTAATAGGGTGTATTGCAGCTTAATAAGGCTGTTAAATCTCATTTTTAACAATCCCTTTCCCCCAAAATTTGCATGTATGTATCTTTATATGTCAGCCGAGCATTTGTTACCATCATGGCTAAATAACATTTCTGAATTACACGATACAGGCTTGCATGCCTAGTGTGTAATTCGTAGAGTTAATTATCTATGTAAAAAGTGTTTTTGGCAAATAAATATTCATTTCATTTTATAACATGACTAGCTTTTACCTGTGACTTCGTCTGCATGATCTGGATACGTCTACCGATCGGGATAAAAGTCAGTCTATATCCTTCTTTTTCGCATATAGTACGCAGTACACAAAATTTGATAATGGTTGGTAAAGACGTTAAGGAGTTATAAGGTAATAAATAAACGAGCAAACTCAATTTTACCATTATAATATTAGTAAAGTTTAGCTGTGTTGTCTTCTTCCGTGTACCATACCAACCATTAAATGTTAACTGCTGACCTAGGCACTGCATAGGTTTCTCTTCTATTAGGGGGCTTTGCCAGTAGTTGCCACGCTTGGCAGGTGGGTATTTTTTTTTTAATGGGTGATAATGGAATGGTAAACCCCACCCGCGTTATTGGTATACATTGGCAGGGCACCAGTGAGGGATGATAGATGAGGATGAAGCAGGTCAGTTAGCCCATCGTGACGAATTCAACAAGAATTGTTCACGATGGTTTCCAGGGGGAACCACGTTGAGGTCGACCTGATATTGATATTGCTAGCAATTGGGCTGTCATACTCCATTGCTAACAATCCCTTTCCCCCCTGGCAGGTGGGTTAGCACCCGTAGCGATGTTTTAAAAGGAACACTGCTGCTCATCTCTCGACCATTAAGTTCTCTTAGTCGCCTTCTTTCATAATATCTTAAAATTTTCGGATGTTTTTAGAGTACGTAATTTCATATGTTTGTCATTCAACTAATGATACGATTACTGTCAAATCAACCAGAGCCAGATGATAATGATTAGTTCTATCCCGTGGCTTCGCTCTTGGTTATGAAATCGATAATTTTTTTTTTATATTTGTTATCATATAGCGTCGATAAGTTTTTTTTTTATCTAAAAGGATATATTTATAGATTGGTCCCATTAGAAATTTTATCAAAATCGGTTTAGTAGTTTAGTTTTAAATTAAAATAACTGGATTTACCACAATTGAAGTCTTTTTTTGTCGAACACAATCATTATTCTGAGAACCTATTAATTAATAATAAATATACTATATAAATATAAATATTATCACTGGTTTTCTTTTTTTTATACAACTTAGAATAGCAAACAAGCTGACGGCCCACCTTATGGAAAGTGCTGACCGTCGCCTATAGACATGAGCAGTACCATGGACATAACAGAATATACTGTTTTGCCTATGATACCCCTCATGCGTTGCCATTCCTGAGGACTCAGGTGTTATTCCTCTGTACCCCGTAAATTCACGCTATATCCCACCTTTCAAACCGAAACATAGCTATGCAAACACAACTGCTTCACGGTTGAAACACAGATGGAACATAGGTACCCAAGCAAATGACTTTTGTACAAAGTCTCCTTTTTTCTCAATATTTAAATTACCCAAGTACGGATAAGTATATTTTTTTTTTGTAGTAGATATTATTAGGTATCCTGTGGTCTAATTTATAAAGATAGCCGAGTTCCAAGAACGGAGCATTTGTGGTTTAATTTTAAAATATAATAGTTATCAATATGGCGGAATCTTACGTTAGGTAGTTAGGTACTGACTTAATTTTATGGACATATATTTTAGTTTATTTATTATTGTTATGAGAAACGTGTACTTGTTTAGGTATATTTTTGTAATCTAAAGTGTAACAGACATGACTATTACGACTAATTTCGCTTGCGTCATCTCTTTTTTTTTAATAAATTTAGTATAAGCTGGAAAGACCAATTAGAATTTGTTAGACTATCTCATCAAAAACATGAAAAAAAAAACTGTTTAAAAAACAGATTTCAATTGTGGCAAAACCAGTTATTTTATTATCAAAACTAAACTACTTAACCGAGTTAGATTAAATTTCTATGAGCTAAAAATGAATCTCTTACAATTGACAGACTTATAATGTAATAAACAAAAAATTAGAACCGATGTGAGAACTTCCTTCTTTTTTAAGTTGGTTTAAAAAAACTGCAGTTACAAATCATATTGCTTTTTTTATGCAACTTAGAATAACAAACAAGCTGACGGCCCCTCTGAAAACCCTAAGACGTAACAAACAAATTTACTTTCACATTTATAATATTAGATTAAAGATAAGGATTAAAACGACAAGTAAGTCACCAGAGGGAGACTTTGTACAAAAGTCGATTGCTTGGGTACCTCTGTCCCATTCGTGTTTCAACCGTGAAGCAGTTGTGTTTGCATGGCTGTGTTTCGGTTTGAAGGGTGGAATATAGCGTGAATTTACAGGGTACAGAGGAATAACACCTGAGTACTCAGGAATGGCAACGCATGGGGGGTATCATGGGCGAAAAAGTATGTGTGTGTACTGTTATGTCCATGGTACTGCTCATGTCTATAGGCGACGGTTACCACTTTCCATCAGGTGGGCCGTCAGCTTGTTTGCCATTCTAAGTCGTATAAAAAAAATTCATGTTACTCACCTTTGATAGGAAATTTTGCATTATGACGAATCAGGCAACAAATTTCTACCGAGATTGTGAAAGCTCTGTTTGCTCCACGCTTATCTCTTTTTAATTTGTAAATGGGATGGTAACCCTGCCTACGCTATCGGTATACGCGGGCGGACTACTAGAGAGTGATGGGTGAGGATAAAAGTAGGTCAGTGAGCCCATCGTGATTAATTCACCAGAGGAAGATTTTGTACAAAATGTCGTTTGCTTAGGCAATTAAAAATTGTTAAATGGTTTTTGAAAATGCACAGATAATCCCCTAACTACACTTCAATAAGATTAAGTAAGACCTCCACGCGGCTCCTCCTGGAAATTATTACTAGAAGGAGACTTTGTACAGAAGTCTTTTGCTTGAGTACCTCTGTCCCATTCATGTTTCTACCGTGAAGCAGTTGTGTTTGCATGACTATGTTTCGGTTTGAAGGGTGGGATATGGCAGTGAATTTACAGGGTACAGAGGAATAACATCTGAGTCCTCAGGAATAGCAACGCATGGGGGGAGGGTGTCATGAGCGAAAGAGTATATCCTGTTATGTCCATGGTATTGCTCATGTCTATAGGCGACGGTTACCATTTTCCATCAGGTGGGCCGTCAGCTTGTTTGCCATCCTAAATTGAATAAAAAAAATATGTATTTAACATAATAATTATAATGAATAATAATGACTTTGTTTTCTGTCACAGCGGTGTAATAATGCAATGGATTTTTTGAACCCGAATTTATTGTTTTTTAATGATGAGTTGTTATTGTCTATTTTTTTTAAATAAATACTGATTCATTCAAATTTTAATTTTAATGGAATAATGGCATTCTTCATGGCAGATTTTGTTAATTATAATTTTTAAGGACTACAAAAGAACGAGGTATAGAATTTGAAGATACGAGTATGTTTTTGTTTTATGTAATTATATTACACGACATATTCGTTAATTTTGCACCGACTTTGATTCAGCAGGTTGGATGGTGGAATTTTTTCAATTTTCTTATACAATATTTTAAGGTATATGTGGGTGATCTCATAGTTTACTGTTAATTATAGTATCCATAGATATAACTGTACCTTGGATTATATAGATAGAGTGTCTATACAAATGCTTCGAGAAAAGCAGGTCAACTTTTTTATACATTTTTGCGTGATAAATAGTTGAGTGTTTCCTTTCTGATTTTTATATTTATTTTGTTTTATAATTTTTGTATCTTTACAATGTGTAAAAAGACATTTTATTTAATAAATAATTAATTATTTTCTTTTTATTTAATACATTATGTGCGTAAAATACATACGAACACTAAAAAAAAAGATTCAGCTAATTTGACAAAAAAATTACCCGTTTTTGTGTTGTGTTCTATCTATGTAATCTAAGAACTATATCTAACTACTATGAAGCAGCAATAATTCTAGATCAAACAGCAAGGTCTCGCTATAATTCATTCATTTGTCTTGTAGTTCCTTTTTATGGAAATATGTATAATGTTTGTGTAAAGAACTAACTAGCTCGTGACCAGCTCCCGAGCTCGTCTTAGAGATGCAATGTTATTGAATGCAAAAAACACCTAGTAGGTACATCCGGGTGTTTATTATAGCAATTTTGTATGGACTTTCCGTAGGTGTGCGAGCATTCATATTATTAGTTTTAGAGACATGCACTATTATAAACGGCGATGAAATAAAATTGAACTGTGCCCGCACTTTTTTATGATTATGATAGCTTATTAGAGGTTTAATATAGGATTTTTGCCTATTATATTCCTATTATTTATTATATGCCGTGTGGTTTTAACATAGAATAGACCACCCCTTTCTTTCCCGTAGGTGTGGTAAAATGCAATTAAGAGAACAGCATCCCTCTTAAAACATCTCCAAAGCCTAAATGCGGTTGCCAATCTGCTGCTAAGCGTGGCAATTATTGGCAAAATCTCACTAGGGGATGGTTTATGATCAACAGACACCATGTTTCCATACCAGCTTACAGCTCTCGCCTACAACCCCAGAACCCGCATATAAGGCAGACTAGCTTTCGCAGTCACAATATTAATAATAACCTATACTTAAACTTTTTGAGAGTGATTAGATTTATTTGTGATAATTCCTACGTTATTTTTAGTTACTGTTCCTAATTGAGTATAATAACTATTATTGGTATACCATAATCTGTAGGTAAATGCTTAAGTGTCAACTTGAGCATTTTATGGTTATAGAGGGCATATGAAATCTTAGTAATTATCCTGTGTTTAATTATACTCTATATTATTATATTATACCTGTATATTTATTTTATATGTTTTATTATACCTGTATTTAGTTATATTTATAATAATTTAGTGTTTAGTAAGTAAATAAAAAATATCAAAATTATCACTTCAGGAAATATTTATTAATAAATCAACAAATATAATTTCAGTAGGATTTAAATCTATTCGGACAAGTAAAATAATATAGGCAGCTGCCAGTATACTATTTTAAAACTAAACTAAAAATACATTTGTTAGATGCGCCATCTTTTAGTAAACAGTTGAATTACATACATATTTACATATAACGTATAACGGACTTGTTTAGATGCACGATTCGCGAATCGATATACTGTCAGTAGATGGCCTTAAAAACTTGTTATACACTCACAGATTATGGCAACATTACAATATACTTAATATTTCGAGTAACAATGGGGCTGATTTTGGAATGCCACTACCTAAATATATTTTAGAGAATGGTATTCCTCAATCGGTCCCGCCACACTCCGAAATGTCATTTTCTAAATTCATTTAGAAAATTTATTAATTTTTTAAATGGCTTTAAAAAATAGTATTTCGGAACCGGCCCGATGTAGCGTAGGCATTGCCTCTGTATCCTTCAGGTTATACAGAGAGCGAATCCAGGGACTAAACGAAGATAACAGGTTAGTAATATGTCTAGGGCTGTAGTTTTTGTTCTGGCCGAGTTGGGATTCCGTAAGCTGTAGCGTGGCTGGTAGCAACTCCTCCACGACCAGTGCTGTACGCGTTGGCAATTGCAGTCGCTCCAGGGGCACCGCCACCCGATTTTCCGCCCCAACCAAAGAACATGGGGAACAAAGCAGAAGAAGGCAGCCTTGGTGCGTAGTCATCCTCATCGTCGTCATCATCACTGGGTTTCTTCACTTGTTTCCTCTTTGACACACGTTTCTTTGGTTTTTGAACTGGCTCTTCTACTTCTTCTATTTCTGGTTCAGTAAATTCAGGCGCAGCGGTCGCTCTGGCTGTAGTCGGTAAGATGTCACTCCTTTCAGTTGGGTCTGCGATTTCTGTAGCTTCAGTTGCTCCTGGCTTTTCTGGTTGAGGGAAGTACACTTCGTTCTGTTGGGGTGGGGGGTTGCTGAGGAGGAGTTCTGGTTGGGTTTGACGGCGTCTGTCCGGGTAGTAGTATTGGCTGGAAGTCTGGGCTTTCCCTTCAGGTGGTCTGAACATAAAGGCGGCCATGCCACCACCGACTGCTGACCGTGGGTTGTTGTAGTACGGGTTGTAGTAACGACTCAGTGCCACACCGCCACGAGTGTTGTCGACCGATCCAAAGGAAACTAAAAAAGAAAATAAAAGATTAATGTCGATTTTGATTACAAATTTTACTACCATTTGAGGAATTAATATGAGAATAAATCGGGGCATGTATTTTAAGAATAATATACATTCTCCATCAAAAATTTTCATTAATTAGGTAATGGTAATAGTTGAGTTTGAAGTAGTGAAATGGGTGCTTTCAGATTTCTCAGATTACTTACGAGAATCCACATCAGATCCAAAATAAGGATAACCGGGGAACGCTTGCGTCTGCCACATCACGGCACTCAAAATCACCAATGCGCTGATCGACTTCATTTTTCTTTGTTACTTTTTTTTACACTGAGACCCTTAGACCAAAGGGTGTTGTGCGATAAGCGGCTGTCAAGCTTGTGTTGAGTACAGGCAGACTTCGCGTTATATAGTCCAGTCTGTCTGGACTAATTGGAATTCAGACCACGGCGCTCCGCTTGCGCCGTGCACGTTTAGTCCGTCATTTTACTCTATTGGACAGTGTTCTCCAACCGTTATGGGAAACTGGACATCCTAGTGGAGATCTGGTGAATGCTCGACACGTATCTCTTCCATTAGGTGAACCGTTGAACTTTTTGTTTTGAACTTTTTTGCAATTTGCTTAGGTGACTCAGTTGATGCAGTGAGGGTCAGTTGTGAATTTTAACTGCAGATTAAGTTTATATTTCACTCTTATGTTGTTTTTTCAGTGTGCTCAGCCAGATGGACACTTTACTGGCCGTTTTTGTTATCACTTGTTCCTTGTGATTTACTGTGAGAAATTTAAATTATTATTCAGGAATCGTGTAGTTGTTTCTTAGAAAAAGAGTTTTATTGTTAGACTATTTTTAGAATCTGCTTATTTTAAGTTAATTCTTAGAAAATATAAGTGTCAAAGATTACTTCATAGTTGCAAACAAATATGTCTTTAAAATTATCAGTTCTGAATATCCATCATTGCGTAAATTATAGCAAGTAGTCTCAGTATTTCAGTATCTTCCATAAGTCTATATATTGTATCTATTGTTTTTGTTATTTGATTCTCTATACCTATGTCTGTCCATGGAGGATAAAATAGTAATCTCAGAAATTTATTTTCTAAAACAATAAAAAACAACTTTTGACGATTACTGATTATTTTTTAACTTGTCGTAGTAAAATTCTCATGAGAAGAACCTACAATTATTTATTATAGAATAAAAATTACTAAAATAGAAACGCCGAAATTTATTAAGCTTGTATAAGCTTGCCATTTTATTCTTGTTGCGATATTGAAAATTGTTATATATCAATAATATTTTATAGTGCGTTTTTAACTATGTACAATTGTACATTAGAACAAACGCACCGAAAAGTATAATTTCTTACCATATTATTTTATTTTGTTTTTTTTTTTTCAATAAAAGGCAATGGTAATATTAGGTTAAAAATAATTATTCCACGAATAAATTTTATAAGAATATTATTGTAAAAATATTTATTATGTGAATTATATATATAAAAAAATATCAACAATGAAATTGAATCCGCAGTTGAGGTAATTGATGATATTGATGATATCTCTATCTCCAGATTTATTATTTCTATTTAATATTACAGTGAAATGATTATTCTTAGGACTAGTATAACTTACACTTTTAGTTCAACATCATGCATCAGAACAGCTTTATATTTAATTTTCTATAGTCAATAACTTAATTGTCTCGTTAAACTATTTATAGGAAGATCGAATTATATGCTTGATATATATAGTTCATAATATCTAGAAGGAATAGAACAAGATACCTGACATAGAATAGAAAACAAAAGAAATACGAAGGAAGTATGGTAGTCAGTGATAGGTTACACTTTCTAACTAAAGTTTTCATTTTAGACATAAATTTAGGAAACGGTATCTTAGAGTCGATCTTATTGTTGAGTAATTTTATAATGAGCGAAAAACAAAAAGGAAAAATAGTGTTGTATTATATAACAACTTTTTTTTATAAACAAAACATGAAAACAAATATAATGTTTTAGATTTTACAGATTTCAAATAGGTGGTGTAGAATTAAAATTATGGTAATGTTTGCCACCATTTTATTCTCTGGGGCGGCGATATTTTATAAGTGATGTTTAATATAATAATAACTCTGCAACTAGATGATGTCTGTCAACAGGTGATATTTAAGAAAAAAGTGATATTATAGATCTTATATAATAATCAATAGAATCCAAAACAATCGTTTGTATAATTTTTGCCTGTCTATCTGTCTACTTATTTCGGTATCACACAAACACTTCTGCATAAAATTAGATGCAGTATTCACAGTTATGTTTCTGAACATCTAATTTAAAATCTGATGTAGTTGTTTTATCTTGATACTTGATCTATATCTATTACCATCATTAAGATCTAGATCTATTACCAAAATTGGCACAAAAAATTTGGTTACTTGCTTATCACTGTAACAAAAAAACAAAATTGCAGGAAAATTTTTAATTTTATAGAAATAAAGTCATCTCACAATTGCATCTATATAATTGTATTCCAAAGGCAACACCTTTGCGATGTTTAAAGACACCGTGCTATAAATAAAAGTGTGGGACAACGCATCGACAGCCATTGCACCCTCTGTTGCACTGCATATGGGAGACCACACACAGAATGACAAGTAGTATCTCATTCATGACGATTTATGATATAGTATTCAATGTTTACTAGCTTTTGAACCAGTTCTTGGAAGTGGAAGCATTATATCAGAAAAACAATAGTGGCCTAGGAAAATATTAACGTTAATAGAGTTATTTAAGGGCATTGTCTGAAGACTTGGATAAAGTATTAGGGATCGTGAGCTGCTCTTTCAAGGAATACTAATAGTCATATTTGAATCTATTATTGAAGCAGATGTTAGGTGCTGTGACACTTTCAAATGCTGGTTTACGTCTCCTATTAAACGTTATTGGGGCTAAATGGATCGGTGATTCCGCTCACGTGGTACATTTGAGGATTTTAGTGGCCTCATAGATGTTATCTGACGGTAAAACTTTACCAGTCAATCCGATATAATCTTCCTCACGACGATCAGTCAGCTAAGTGGTCTTGACAGTCAAATTTGCGAGTTTGCACGTTTGTAGATACATAATTGTGAATTTATGCCGGAAACATGCTGTATGGGTCATTAGTATGGCCAGTAGGACGGTCTGATTCACGCTTCACTGGACTACCAAGTACATTTTGAACACCTGTATTTTTGTCATGTGCTCCTGGTGTTTAGTAGTCCAGATAAGCACGTGAGCATATCTGATTATTTTTATTTAAAGTAATATCTGTTTTAGGTAGGCATCTGTTTCGTTTGCTTATGTTTAAAGTTGGTGATTGGTAACGCTTATTATATTTATATTGGATATAAAATTAAAAGATATGTTTTATCATTTTTGGAAATCATCTCCTTCAGGGTGTTTCTATAATCGTATGACGGCATTGAAGCACAGCGTGGCATGGTGGCATTTTATTGTTATATTTAATATTGAAAAATAAAATGTATGCAGTTTTTTAATTTTTCAATTTAAGACTAAAAGATAGTAATGTAGTCTATTAGTTATCTGTTGTTTTTTTTTCTTGTACTGTTTTGTATTTGCTTTATTCTCTTAAGTCACCTTTTACGGCATCTTAAGGATAAGGAGAAAAAATAAAAATAAGGAGAAGTGGTATTTTTAATTCTTGAATATAAAGAAACAGCATTAATCGATTATTGCTGTATCGATGTAAAATTATGAATTTTTACAAATCAATAGCACATTTAAAATTTGCTGCTTTCCATGTTTTCGTCCTTTGTGAGTCTATACTCGTATTTAAAGCATTCAATGTAAATGTAAATGTAAAGTTAGGATTATGATCTCCTACTATCTATCCTCCTCCATCCTATCTACCCTTGTACCAGTTTTCATTCAAATCCACTCAGTTATTTAAGGGTGACTGAGTAAGAAAAATACTAAGATTGCGAATTTTCGTATTTATATTATAAATAGTAGTAGGATTATCGTCATAAAGAGTTCTGTGAATGGCATAATTGTCCTGTCTATGCTTGCCGCAGATGCTCGGCAGACATTCAGACTGCGAGCCGCGTGTCAGATCGCGCGATACACAATCGTTGATAACACCGCCGGCGGGTGCAAGAACCTACTAAATTTCGCACCAACACTTACTGGAAACGAGCGGTATTCAAATGTGCTTTTCATTTGTGTGTGCACGTTGATGATTTACATACAGTCATTTTGCGTGTTGGTTTGTTATTGTCAACCTTAGATTATATATTGTAGATAGAGCCTTGAGCCTCAAAAACGTGTCAACTTTTTGTCAGCTAATTGCCAAATTAGTTCACTCATTTTTTATCAGTGTTCTATATATTTACGCATATTGACATATTATTTAATAAATAAAACGAGTGTTTACGCCATAAAAAGATGCAGAAATTATAAGACAAAATAAATATATATATATATATTGTAAAGAATCTCACATAACTACTTATCACGCAAAATTGTATGAAAAAGTTGACCCGTTTTTCTCGAAGCTTTTCTATGTAGACACATAATCTATATAATCTAAGCTGTTACCATACAATGTATAATTATCATGTTTATTTATCGATTCCAGAACCTTTTTATTTATTTTTTATACAACTACGATGGCAAGCAAGCATACGGCTCGTCTGATTGTAAACGGGGTTACCGTAGCCTATGGACGCCTGTAACACCAGAAATGTCACGCGTGCGTTGCTGACCCTTAAGAAACCTTAATATAGCCTTTTTGAAGAACTCCATGCTATAGTTCTTAGTGAAAGCCTCGGCAGGAAGATTGCTCTACAACCTGAGTGTTCGCAGAAGGAAGCTTCTTTGAAACTGCTTTGTGCGTGACCATTCTGGTTCTATGATTGAGGATCGAGTTCCTGCCAATGGCGAGCGATATGATGGTGAAAGGTGGCTGTAGACATGATGTCTTAGCTTTGCTGGTTACTCTGTTTGAGTCATTGATTGTTTTCTTTAATCTTCTGATACAGTTAATTATTTGATATAGTAATATTTTATGTATGTATGTATTTATCACATGTGTATGTTTTATATTGTATTATATATTATATTTTGTGTATGTTTATAATAATCTTATTATATGTTTAAAATATATGAATATTTTAAGTATTGCTTTATGTTATCTCAATTCATTAATACACTGCCTACCTATTTCTGTTTGCCCAATAGTTGACTGGTTTTTCTTTTTTTTTAGTAGATGAAAATGGTATTGTAACCCCGCCTGCGCTAACGGGATACGCTGGCGGAGCACCAATGAAGGGTGATCGACGAGAATGAAAACAGGCCAGTTAGCCCATCATGATGAATTCATCAGGAATT